TGCCTCAAAATTCTTCCAGCTTCTACCCACTATCCAATTCCAAAGCCATTTCAATGTTTTTAGGTATTTGTTACAACATGTTATAAACTGAATTATGCCCCCCCATCCATATGTTGAAGCTTTAAGCCCCAATATGACTGTATTATGAAATAGCACCTGTAAGGAGGTGATTACGGTTAAATGAGGCCATAAGGATGGGGCCCTAATGCAATAGAACTGGTGTCCTTATAAGAAAAGGAAGGGACACCAGGAATGCATGTGCACAAAGGAAAGGCCATGTGAGGACACAGCAAGGCAGCCATCTTCAAGTCAGGAAGACAACCCTCATCAGAAACCAACCCATGGCACGTTGAACTATGAGAAAATACATTTATGTTGTTGAATTCACCCAGTATGTACTATTTTGTTATGGCAGCCCAATCAGACTAAGATACAGCAGCATCTCACACCTAGGCACCAAAATCTATATTAATTTCCTGTGGCTGCTATAACTAATTACCACAAATGTAGTGGCTTAAAATATAAGAAATCTGCCCTAGCTGGTTTGGCTCAGTGGATGAAGCATCAGCCTGCAGACTGAAGGGTCCCCGGTTCAATTCTGGTCAAGGGTGCATGTGCGGGTTTTGGGCTTGATCCCCAGCAGGGGGCATGCAAGAGGCAGCCTACCAATGATTCTCTCTCATCAATGATGTTTCTATCTCTCCCTCTCCCTTCCTCTCTAAAATCAATAAACATATATTTTTTTTAAAAAAAGAAATCTATTCTTTCACAGTTCTGGAAGTGAGAAATCCCAAATCAGTTACATTGGGTCAAAATGAAGGTGTCACCAGGGCCATACTCTCCCTAGAAAATCTAGGGGGGAATCTGGTGGCTGCTGGCATTCCTTGGCTTGTGGTAGCACTACAATCTCTGCCTTAAGGTCGCACTGCCTTCTCCTTTTCTGTCATATTTGCCTCTGCTTTCCTCTTATAAAGAAATTTGTGATTACAATTAGGTTCCACTCAGATAATCCAGCTGGAGCTCCAGTGGTGCAATCGGTTAGCGCATGGTACTTAGACAGATAATCCAGGGTAATATCCCCATCTCAAAACCCTTAAACTAATCACACCTACAGTCCATATAAAGTGTCATTCACAGGTTCCAGAGACTTGGACATGGGCATTTTAAAAAAGAATTTTCTTGTATTATTATTATTTTTTAATTTATTGATTTTAGAGAGAGACGGGGGGGGTGAGAGAGATATTTGTTGTTCCACTTATGCATTCGTTGGTTGATTTTTGTATGTGCCCTGACCCGGGACCAAACCAGCAATCTTGGCATAAGGAGATGATGCTCTAACCAACTGAGCTATCTAGCCAGGGCAGACATGAACATCTTTTGGAGAGTCATTAGTCAGCCTGCCATACCATTCTATGACAGTTAACAGCTCTACGCCTTAAATTCCCTTACAGAAGACCAAATTCTATCTTTACACACTCACTGTCTTCCTATAGTCCCTCCAATTGCACCCCAAACCATCTTCCAATCCCAACTCTATTCCCAATTTACCCTCCAATAGCTACCATCTGCATTCTTTTTTTAAAAAAATATATATATTTTATTGATTTTTTTACAGAGAGGAAGGGAGAGAGATAGAGAGTTAGAAACATCGATCAGCTGCCTCCTGCACACCCGCTACTGGGGATGTGCCTGCAACCAAGGTACATGCCCTTGACCGGAATCGAACCTGGGACCCTTCAGTCCGCAGGCTGATGCTCTATCCACTGAGCCAAACCGGCTAGAGCCCATCTGCATTCTTAAGTGGTCCTCTAGCAGTCCCATCCCTCCTGAAGACCTTCACATGATCATTTACTAGTAGTTACATGAAAACTGCCTTGCAGTAGCCCCCAGCCTTACCCCAAGCCAACCCTCACCACTCACATCTATCCCTAAATATCCCAACTTCACCATCCAATTGCCCTCTTTCTTTCCTCCATATCTACCAATCACACCACCCTGCAGTTGTCTCTCAATGAAACCCCAGCTGCCTGAGAAAAGGAGGAAGGCAGGGAGGGAGGAAGGGAGAGAGGAAGGGAGGGAGGAAGGGAGAAAGGGAGGGAGGAAGAGAGAGAGAGAGAAAGAGAGAGAAGTGTTAAAAAAAGTTGTGAGTGAGCGAGAGATTGAGAGGGGCTGAGAGAGATGGAAGGTGGGTTTATTGTGCAGGATATGTGATGGGGAAGCACTTATGGAAACATTTTGGATGTGTATATGAAACTCATATATGAAACTTTATAGGATTGAGGTGTGTTACAGGATAATTAACCTGTGGGTCTAATGCTGTAAATTTTCCCTCCCACTTTGCCACAAGTCTTTTTTATTTTTAAATACATATTATTTATGGATTTCAAAGAGGAAGGGAGAGGGAGAGGGAGAGATAGAGGGAGATAGAAACATCAATGATGTGAGAGAATTATTTTTTAAAAGTAATATTCATATTGTAATATTGAATTGCTTTTCCTTTTAAATATATTTTATTGATTTTTTACAGAGAGGAAGGGAGAGGGATAGAGAGTTAGAAACATCAATGAGAGAAACATCGATAAGCTGCCACCTGCACGCTCCCTACTGGGGATGTGCCCAAAACCAAGGTACACGCCCTTGACCGGAATCGAACCCGGGACCCTTCAGT